AGCGAAGCCTGGACGCACCAGCTGCCCCCAGCTCTGTGGGCCGCAGCCCCACGCGGGGCGGACCGAGGCCGGAAGGGGAGCTGGGCGGTTCAGGGGAGCTGCGAACAGCTCTGCTCTGGAGAAGAGCGCCAGGGCTGGGCACCGGGTCACACAGCTGCAGACAGGAGCCTGCACAGCGCAGGCTGTGTGTTCCGGGGGCGGCGGCGTCCTGGCTGCTTCCACGGGAGCTGTGGGGAGAGCTGTGCGCTTTTCCAGAGGGGACCACAGCGGGACCTGCCCGGTCACTCGAGAACACGCAGGAAGCTGGAAGTGTTCTCTGGAACTGAACTCGGCCAGGAAGAAACGGAAGCAGCCATCCCGTCCTCCCAGGACTCACTGCCCAGTAAAATTCAAGTCGCCTTCCTGGCCTCTGCACATCGCAGCAGCCAGTGGCCCAGGGTCAGCTCCCCTCATTATGTATAGGCTTTTTTTTTTTGGTCTTTTTGAGACAGGGTCTCGCTATGCAGTATGCAGTTCAGGCTGGCCTTGAGCTCACTTTGCAGCCCAGGCTGGTCTTGAACTCCCAACGATTCTCCTCCCTCAGCCTCCCAGGTTGCTGGGAAGTGTGCCCCACCACACCCGGCTATTTTCCTTCTTTCCGTTCAGGTCCTTCCCAGCCCACCTCAGCCCTTCATAGGGCCACCTCGTCTCCAGACTCAGTGAAAGCACCACTGTTTGTGAGTGGCCAGATGTGTAAACACCTCTGAAAGCCTCTTTTGGTCCCCAACAGTGATAGCTCCTTTACTTAGGCCTCCTAGCAGCATCCTCAAGGAAAACTCAGTCCGGCGTGCTCAAGGACAGTGGTGCCTATGGTCAGCAGGGAGCGGGTCGCCCTGTCAGCGGGAGGCCACCCTGTCGGGCCCACGGGGCCTTATCAGACAAAGTATGGGCCCGAGAGGTGCACTGGGCTTATTTGTGTCTCCACAGGGTCACAGACAAGGGGACCTCAGTCAGCCTCAACCTCACAAGCCAGGTCCAAGCACATGCCATCCCCTCCTCCCGTCACACCACGGGGCCAGCTGTGTGGGACCCTGGTGGATCCTCGAGGTGGGGACAGAGGGCGCCCGAGACCTGATCTAATTGTGGAAAGTGATCGAAAGGGAATGGGGGTTCCCAACACGCCAGCACCTGGGGGGCAGCACTAGTATGGCTGTGGATGAGAGGTCAGCACTAGCAAAGCCACCACCTGGGGCATCCTGTCCCCACACCCCCACTGCACCCAGGGACACAGGGCTGACACCGGAGGTGTGGTGACATATCCGCTGTGCCTCCAGCTCGCTGGTGGCAGGAAAGACCCTCCACGAGGCAGCTGTGTGTGTGTTTAAGCACTACGTGGGGGTCACGTGAGGATGAACTTTTATTTTGACATCACTGTACAACTCCTTTCAAAACTTAAAAAAAATACAAATCCTTGATTTCATTGTTGTCCTAGAAAAGATTTTTTTGTGATGTCACCAGCTGTCCCCCTACCCCCATGTTCTGTGCCTGTCAGCAGCCTCTGTGAGGACCTAAGGAGACACCTCGTGTGTGCAGGTGCTGAGGGGACAGTGCTGTGTGACAGTGGGGTCCCTGGATCACAGCCCTGGATGCGCTGGCCTAGTGCTTCCCAAGCCAGATGTGGGAGGTGTGACCCCGGGCCCTGAACTCCACACACACACTTCCCCAACTGGGGGGAAACACCCGACCAGACTTCACTGACCTGACCCCAGTACCCTCTGGAGTGGGAAACCCAGAGAGAGACGGAGTCTGTGCAGAAGCCGGGTCCTAGGCCCCACCGCGCAGCCCCGGGACACTCAGGGACAGTGGGTACAGGCTGCAGAGGGAGGGACCTCCTGCTCCAGGCAACCCTTTCTGCTGTGTTGGTCACGAGCGAAAGAGCAGTTCTGGACCCAACATGTGTCTTTTCTGGAGCAACCTCAAGTTTACAGGTCCAGGGACCCTGACCCTGGTACAGAAGAGGGTGAAGAGAAGCCGATGGATTTAATACGTTATCACTTTTTACTTCAACTATTTATCCACAGCAACACTGTATATTTTGCAAATGTACAATACAGAGAGTGTAGCCTCACACGACTGACGCCAGGTGACATGCAGTACAATTCCACTTGTCCTCACCAGAACAGCGTCCTTAACTGCGAGACACGGCGAGGCCTGGGAGCCCAGCTTTAAGGAAGGTGAGGAGTTCGGAGGACAGTGAACCCAGGCGGCCTTCACCGGCCTGGCTCGACCCGATGGGACACGCCCGTGCCGTCACTGTGCTTTCTGAGCAGATGGCCGAGAAAGAAATGCCGCCCTGGGAGGGCAGGGCTGGGCACTGCAGTCCCTGCTGTCACAGAAGGCTAAACTCTGGATTGCTGGGTTCGCTCTCTGTGGAGATAACAAAGTGCTGTTTGCAGATCTGCTGGTACGGTGACCTCAATGACATGACAGTGGGGGGATGAGGAGGAAAATCGGGGAACCCCCAGCCGGCCAGCCAGGGGGACGCGGCTAGACCTGGCTCTGGTCTCCCGCTGCCTTCCAGCCCCAGCTTGCACGTCGTCCCGAGGCGGAGCCCCGTGGCCAGCAGTCGCCACCCAAGCGGGGCCAAGGGGCCATCCTCGCTCGGGTCTCGAGGCCTAGGAGCGCAGTGCTGGTGGGGGCAGTGGCTGGAAAGGCTGAAACCGCAAAGACGCCTGTGGGTGACTGAGAACAGACCTGGTGTGGAGTCAGGGGGCGTGGGCAGGAGGGCAGCGCCCGCTCCAGGGAGCACACGGTGTCACCACAACACAGAAGCAACAAGAGCACAGCTGAGAATCAAGTGATGCCCGGGCAGCTCACGGGACCAGGACAGGCAGCAGGGACTTTGCCCGGCGAGGGCCCGGTGCTCGGCGGCCAGTCACATGGGTGGCCACGGCGATGACACGGGGGTTTGACAAGCGCATGGCCACATGGAATCACGGTGATCACTGCTACCTCTCGACACAGCACGGGACACACACACCGCCCCGCCCTGGGCTGCTCGGCAGGCGACAGCCTTTGAGGGCCTCAGCACTGCCTGGGGGCTGCTCTCGGGGTCCTGCCTGCTGGCCAGTGCAGGGCTGAGGGAGCTGTGGTGTGGGGTACTTCGCTACTGGCTAGAGCCATTATGTTAGAATAAAACCCCTTGCACGTGAACACACCCTGGCAAGTGTCAATACTAAGCAGTAGCTCATTGCTTTATTTTCTGGTAAAGCTCCTGGGGCACAAAACCCTGCAGGGAGTGGTGCGGCTCAGGGAACAGGCCCTGCACGTCCTGTAGCAGGGTGACCGCGAGCACCCCTTCTGCCACAAAGGTCACGAGGGGCTCGGCCCTCGCTCCCTGCCCCCACCACCACCTGTCCCCGCCAGCTTCTGGCTCACCCCGCCTTGGTTGCCAGCCACTTAGTCCCTGTGTCACCCTCCTGGCCCTGCCACTGCCCTTGCCACATGTGGTGCAGCAGGGCACAGTGCCATCTAACTCAGCCCTGGCATGGCTGGGCTGGCATTGGGTGGCCCTGTTCCTCCCCAAGGTCCAGGCACTGGCTGACCACCACTGGCAGGTCCCCCGGCTGCCCGGAGTGCCTCATGCCCCAGGCCTGTGCTGCCTTGCGGCCTCCACAACCGTCTCCTCCTTTGCTTCTTGATCAAGGTTTCTCTGCGTGTCCCCACAGCCCCTCATCCCCATCCTTGCCACCCTCTCGGTGCCCATCTAGCTTTAGTCTTTTGCCAGCTACTCCCTGGGCAGCCTCCGCCATCCCTACTCCAGACCTTGGCCTCTTTGTCCCTCATTCTATCTGGAACCCCAGTGCATCCTGCAGCACCCAGACCAGAGGGGCCACAGCTGAGGGAAGGGCGCTGTGGGCAGGGGAATGGGAAAGGCCATGAGCAGTGAGGCGGGGGGCATGGCTGCAGAAGCCGCGGCAGGCCCCAGTCACGGCCTCAGGTGCAGCAGCGCTGATCCTGCAGGCTCCAGCAGTAACGGCTATGGCTTTCATTTTATTGCTTCAGGGCACGGGGAGCTTGCCATTTTTTTCCCCACTCTGGCCACTGGATATTTTGTTCCTGCCTGGATTACAAGCACTGGTGCCATCACAGGACAGGCGCTTGCCTTTGCATCTCTCACACAAGTCTTGACAATGGGGGTGCCTGGGGCCCACGGGGCAAAGTAGCACTGGGCAGGAACGTCTAGCTCTCCTACAACTTCGACAGGTGACATCCTCCACTCGGAAAGGGTTGTAAGACTTCTGGCACATTCTGCAAAACTGTTTGAAGTAAACCTTGTTTGTGCCTTGGACACACCACATGTATGCACTCTCCCAGCGGATGTCGCAGTCCTGGCAGTGAGAGTTACCATATTTTTGCTGGAAATGCAGGCACTCCTTGCCTGGCTTAGCACCCGGCAGCAACCTCTCCTGTGGTGGCAGTTGTGTCCCCACGGTCCCCAGCCCTCCCTGCCACCGGGGCCATTCCAGCCTCTGAAGCACGGGCTATGGGGCTGCCTCACTCGTGTGCCTCCTGCTGCTCCTGCTGCTCCTGCCGGCCCTCAGTAGTGGGGACACCTTCCTTGCTGTCCCCTCATCTTCCTCTGGCACCGCAGAGCCCTGCGTGCTCACTGGGGCCTCCTCCAGGCAGCTGGTGAGGCAGTAGGAATGCACAGGTGACCACACGGCAAGGGAGCACAGGGAGCGTGTGGGGCCAGCCAGGGTTCCTAGGTCCCGGGCCCTGCGCGACAGCTTCCGCCGCCCATGCGCGCACTGCACCAGGGCATTGCACTGTGGTCTCACCTCCACCCCACATCATGGCCACCGGGCCGGCGGGGGCACAGCCCAAGGTCTGGGCTTGCATGCTACAGGAGTGTGGCAGGGAAGAATGAGGCAGGAGGGTGTCCCCCACCACAGAGCCGCCAACCATTGGTGCCCTTGGCATCTGGCAGGTAGGGAAAGAGATAGGAGTAGGGACGCACACTGGGCACCAGAATGCACCCAGCACCTCGTCCCCCACTGCAGCCATCCGGGCCGCCCCCATTATTTGATGGGGCCAAGGCATGCTCCAGTGGGAGTTTCCCGGGAAAGGTCAACCTTTCCAATCTTTCTAGATCTACCTGCGTTATTCCAGCGATACCCTCAATGACACTTAATACAAGGACTGCAAGGTTTAGTTGAAGAGACTGACAATGGCTGAGCTGCCCTTATCGGTACAGCAGAGCAGTTCTGGACAAAATGTTCCCTGGCCCCACAGTGAAAACAAATGGCCTTGCTTTTCCCTTCCTCTGGGCTGGGGATGAATAGCTTGAGCAATAGCTGCCACAAGGCAGGCCCCTGTACATCTGAGGGATGACCATCTGCACGATCTGAATCATCTCTGGCAATGTAGCCCATTTTTTATAAGCTCTTAAAGCCTCTTTTCACCATTTATTTGCATTTTCGAAGGCCAGCTGTTGAACTGTTAGTTTGCTAGCTTCTGTGTTACCTATGATCCTTTCACTAGCTTGCACTGAGTGCGGTGAAATCTTGAAAAGGCCTCCTCCAGGGACCTGATAAATAGAAGCCAAATTAAGGGATGCCTCACCCTTGGAAGGAAGTTCCCTCCAAGCCCTCACGGCAGCCCTCTTGGTTTGCTCGTAGGCTGGCAGTTCAAAGGTCAGTTTTGTGATAGCAAAGGCACCTTCCCCAACTAGCATATCCTTTGTAATAGCTATGCTGTAAACAGCACTACGAATTGCCTGGTCTGGGCAATATTCAAATAAATTTCCTTTCCACAACAAGTAATCACCTGCACTTAAATATGCTTTAGCTATTGCTTTGCAATCATTTGGGGCCATAATCTGTTGTCCTAGAATCTCTACTAAACTCAAAGTAAAGAGACCAGTAGGGCCCTAAGTAGCAACAGCTTGTTTTAACTCTTTCAGAGTTTTAAAAGGTATAGCTTCATTACGATGTATAACTTGTCCCAGATTTTTAGGGACTTGAACTTCAGTTGCAAGGCAGATACCCTGAACACGCTCCATGATCTCTCCCATCCCTCTAGCTTCTTTTAATGACAGTTGCAAGGGAGAGAGAGAAAGCGGCTCTACTCCATGAGTGGTGGGCAGCACTTGTAATGCAGCCCAATTCCCCCGAATAGAAAAGACCAGTATAGGGGCTGGGGATTTAGCTCAGCGGCAAAAGCGCCTGCCTGGCAAGCGCAAAGTCGTGAGTTCGGTTCCCGGTACCGGAGGAAAAAAAAAAAAAAAAAAAAAAAAAAAAGACCAGTATAACCGTCTGTGGCTCAGTCAGATTCATCTGGCATTATGAAATGAAATTCTTGAGGAAACATCTCTCTGGTGAGGAACAGCCCCTCCTGTCCACCACCACTCCGTCCTTCTTAAATTGGACCAGGCTAAAGGGCTCAAGCTCTACTGGTGGTGCCGTTGCTCCACCCTCCATGTCCCACTCAGGCTCAGGACTTGATTTTAACATAACGTTATGAGCCAAATCCTTTATGTTTACCAAACCCCTCCAAACCAACATCCAGGAAATTAAATACAGGCGTCAAACATGTGACAACACTACTGCAAATACACACCCCCAGGAGTCTTGAGACTCTACTTGCACTTCAGTACCCCTTTCTCTTTTGGCTTCTTTGAAGCCTGTCTATTTTCTGGCCCTAGAGAACCTGTATCCCCATACCTTTACACCTGACATGCTGGTACCATGCACCAGTGCTGAATACCAGCTCTCACAAATACGCTTCCCCACTTGTGTTGTGTGCTCTTGGGAAACATTCTCACCGCCCACTTAACCCTAGCAGGGTCCCTTCGTGGTCACCAATTGTAAGGGTCCATTGGGTTCTTGCTGTACTCCAGGAAGGAACGGCGGCAAGAATGAGGAAAAAATAGACAAGAGACAAAAGGCTGGGATCAGGCGGAGGTCCTCTCTCTCCTGAGTGGAGAAGTGGGACTGCCCTAGAACAGTAGAGCGTTTATTTTATACCCTCGAGAGGTTGATTCATTTCAGCCTTTCTGCCTAGCAATCAGTTAACAAGCGACAATGGCTTGTTTACATGCTTCGAGGAGCTCCTGTATTCTCGGGCGGCTTTGTCCTGCATGCGTAATTACTTTCCAACTTCAGCTATTCCCCATATCCTCTGTGGCCTGCTGACATGTCCTCAGCGCCCTAAGTAAAATGAGACCTACGTTTCTTTGATGGCAGTGGGCTCACT